CTTGTAATTGTGGTTATAGTGGTGGTGGTTCTTATTCATGTTCTTTTTTTTTGTTGACGGGCCGGCTGGCTCGACAATGCGCGCGAAAATTTCGATCCCGAGGCTGCGCGCAGTATGCTTTGACACACATACACACATATCAGTGGTTCATGAGTCATTAGCGAACAAAAGAGTTGGTCCTTCGTACCCGGACTTGTTTTTGATCGTCTTCTTGTTCTTGTTATTGTCGTTCTGGTCGTTGTTGTTGTTGTTGTTGTCGTCGTTGTTGTCGTTGTTGTTGTTGTTGTTGTCGTTGTTGTTGTTGTTGTTGTCGTCGTTGTTGTCGTTGTTGTTGTTGTTGTCGTTGGTGTTGGTGTTGGTGTTGGTGTTGGTGTTGGTGTTGGTGTTGGTGTTGGTGTTGTTGTTGTTGTTGTTGGTGTTGGTGTTGGTGTTGGTGTTGGTGTTGGTGTTGGTGTTGGTGTTGTTGTTGTTGTTGTCGTTGTTGTCGTTGTTGTTGTTGTCGTTGTTGTTGTTGTAATTCTGGTTGATGTTCTTATTATTGTTCTTGTTCTTGTTCTTATTATTGTTCTTGTTCTTGTTCTTGATCTTGTTCTTGTTCTTGTTGTTGTTGTTGTTGGTGCTGGTGTTGGTGTTGGTGTTGGTGTTGTTGTTCTTGTTATTGTTATTGTTGGTGTTGGTGTTGGTGTTGGTGTTGGTGTTGGTGTTGTTGTTGTTGTTGTTGGTGTTGTTGGTGTTGTTGTTGTTGGTGTTGTTGTTGTTGGTGGTGTTGGTGTTGTTGTTGTTGTTGGTCTTGTTGTTGTCGTTGATGTTGATGTTGGTCTTGTTGTTGTTCTTGTTCTTGTTCTTGTTGTTGTGGTTGTTGTTGTTCTTGTTGTTGTGGTTGTTGTTGTTGTTATTGTTGTTGTTATTGTTGTTGTTGTTCTTGTTATTGTTGTTGTTGTTCTTGTTCTTGTGTTTGTTCTTCTTCTTGTTCTTCTTCTTGTTCTTCTTCTTGTTCTTCTTCTTGTTCTTCTTCTTCTTCTTGTTCTTCTTCTTCTTGTTGGTGTTGTTGGTGGTGGTGGTAATGTTGTTTTTGTTATTGGTGTTGTTGTTTTTGTTCTTGTTTTGGTTCTTGGTTTTCTTCTTCTTGTTGTTGCTGTTTATGGTGTTGTTGCTGTTTATGGTGGTGGTAGAGTAGAGGTGGTGGTGTTGTTGGGGTTGGTGTTA